GGGGGGGGACGGGACGGCACGGCACGGCACGGCACGGCACGGCAGTAGACTACTCAGAACCCTGATTCTCTCCTTTCTAGCTCTTTGTTGCCTGTGGCTTCTCCTGCAAAGAACAGCTGTGGCAGCCTGGTCTGTAAGAGCCCAGTGTGGGGAAACTGCACTCCTACCATGTCCTACTGCTGCTGGAGGGATGCACAACTACTGGGCCATTGGCTGGTACAAGGTAACTGTTTTATTAACCGTCCTGGAAAGTCGCAACCTTTCTGAGCAGCAGCAAATTTCATTATGAGCTTCTCGTGGCCAGCAAACCAGGGGTCCTGTCCTCCCTACCTTATTTCACGTGCCATGACTTGTGGGGTGGGCAGGCACAGACCCAGAGGGGTGTGACAGTGCTGCTTTCTGTCTTACTCCTGGAGGAAGTGGTAGTTTCTCCAGACAGCTGCTATGGACTCTCCCTTCAGCAACAGGAAAGTCTGCCTCTTCATGTCCAGCTTCCAGGTTTGAGACCATTTTAGCGGGTTGTCGCCAATTGGGCTGCACCTGTTTCCCATGAAAGAAACATTGAGCTTTGCTAGCAGGGGACTCAGTACCTAATTTATACATGCAAACGGGGCATTGGTGTGCATAAAACGGGGTCACCCACATTAATGCCACGGCTGCTCATGCCAATGTTTGCACAAGTAGAAGTCAGATGTTTGGGATTGGTGGCAGCATAGTCCACAGCTTGTCGCTGATCGCTGTTGACGTGCTCACAGGGCTTCTGTTGGGGCATTGCAGGTAGCCAACGAGAGTCATGAAATGGGGCTGATCCGGAGACATGAGAATAGCACCCGCCTGTATTCAGGGACCCAGCGGGAGTTCCTGATGGATGAGCAGCAATCCTTGGTCATTCCTGAGGTCCAGCCGGAGGACTCTGGCACCTACCGCTGTTCCCTGTGGGCCAGAGTTGGGCATTTCAATCAGCAGGCAGACATCATCCTGCAGGTAGCAGGTGAGGCGGCAGCGCAGTGTTTGGATCACAGTCAGACTTCACGGGGATACAAAAGGGCTTAGACAAAAGACGTTGTGCCCTCCCCCAGCCAAAGGCAATGGGCCACGCAAATGAGTGAGACTCGGATTGATCACAAGGTGCAGGGGCAGAAAGGAGGTTCATTGTAGTTCCCAGGGCTGGACAGCCTTTCACCTCAGCAGTACAGAGCTGTGCTCTCCAGCAAGGACCTGTGATTCGGGGACTCTTCAGTCCTCTTCTGCTCCCCCTCTTGCAGTTGGGCGGGGGAGGAGGGATTTGAGCTGTGATACCACTTGAGCATGCAGCTTGTTGCTCCCTCATGCCTGACCAGGCTCCAGAACTCTGCCCACTTGCTCCTGGATGCTGCCTCTACTCTGTCCCTGAACCTGGTCCCCTGAAGGTCCCCCACAGGTGGGAGGCCTTGCTCTCCTGCATAGCTATGCAGAACCAGGGAACAGTCTCGCCCTGTGCTAGTGAGATCAAGGTGCTGCTAGATTCAGCACTCCGTAAGGAAACGGTTGTTTGAATTCTAGAGCTTCTAACGCACAAAAAGCATTCACAGAGGTTCCAGACTGTTCCCATGTGCACAAGTGGGAAAAGGGTGCAGGCGGCAAGCCTGTGACTGGCTCCTGGCACTGCAGGATTGTGCCCTCCCAGGGAAGGGCCCTTGGGCTCCTTTGTGGGACTGTCCCCCGAGCGGCCAAGTGCAGCCCTGGTGTAAGTGAGTGCCACGTCATGGAAATCAGTGAGTCACATCTGCTCAGGGCTGAATTTGGCCCCGTGTCTTTGTTTGTTGCATGACTAACTTGTGAAAGTGCCCTGGGGCAGGCGGAAGGAGTTGGATTTGGGTTCCAAGATGTTATTTCCCCAGAAGACACATGCAGCCAAGCTTGCATCAGAAATCTCCATACCACTTTCTAGTCACCAGTGACGCAGCACAACAAATACCTGATTCATTTGAAAATCCAGGTGGGAATCCAGGGAGTCAGGATGGAATTCCCTGCTTTGGAATTTGGCCAAGAAGCCAAGGCAAACACCCCTTCTCTTAAGAAAAGGGTCCAGGGAAGAAGGAAAAACCAGGGAACTATAAACCCATCAGCCTTACCTCAGTCCCCAGAAAAATCATGGAGGGGATCCTCAAGGAATCCATTTTGAAGCACGTGGAAGAGGGGAAAGTGATCAGGAACAGTCAGCATGGATTCACTAAGGGCAAGTCGTGCCTGACCAACCTGATTAGCTTCTCTGACAAGGTAACTGGCTCTGTGGACATGGGGAAGTCAGTGAATGTGATATACCTTGACTTTAGCAAGGCTTTTGATACGGTCTCCCACAAGTGAAGGAAGTATGGATTGGATAAATGGACTGTAAGGCGGACAGAAAGCTGGCTAGACTATCAGGCCCAACAGGTAAGCAATCAACGGCTCGACATCTGGTTGGCAGTCATTTTCAAGAGGAGTGCCTCAAGGAACAGTTCTAGGGCCGGTTTTGTTAAACATCTTTATTAATGACCTGGATGAGGGGATGGATTGCACCCTCAGCAAGTTTGTGGATGACACTAAGCTAGGAGGAGAGGTAGATACACTGGAGGGCAGGGATCGGCTCCAGAGTGACCTAGGCAAATTGGAGGATTGGGCCAAAAGAAATCTGATGAGGTTCAACAAGGACAAGTGTAGAGTCCTGCACTTGAGACAGAAGAATCCCAAACATTGTTACAGGCTGGGGACCGACTGGCTAAGCAGCACTTCAGCAGTAAAGGACCTGGGGATTACAGTGGATCAGAAGCTGAATAAGAGTCAACATGGCACCCTTGTAGCCAAGAAGGCCAATGGCACATTAGGTTGTACTAGGAGAAGCATTGCCAGCAGATCTAGAGAAGTTATCCCCCTATATTCGGCACTGGTAAGGCCACATGTAGAGTTTTGCGTCCAGTTCTGGGCCCCCATTATAGAAAGGATGTGGACACGTTGGAGAGGGGCCAGCGGCGGGCAACCAGAATGATGAGGGGGCTGGAGCATATGACCTAGGAGATGAGGCTGAGGGATCTGGGCTTATTTAGTCTGCAGAAGAGAAGAGTGAGGGGGGATTTGAGAGGAGCCTTCAGCTTCCTGAAGGGAGGTTCCAAGGCTGTTGTCGGTGGCAGGTGGCAGAACAAGGAGTAATGGTCTCAAGTGGGGGAGATCTAGGTTGGATATTAGGACAAACAATTTCCCTAGGAAGGTGGGGAAGCGCTGGGCTGGGTTCCCTAAGGAGGGGTTGGAATCTGCATCCCTAGAGGTTTTTAAGTCCTGGCTTGACAAAGCCCTGGCTGGGATGATTGAGTTTGGGTTGGTCCTACATTGGGCAGGGGGCGGGACTCGACTCATGAGGGCTCTGCCTGCCCTTGGATTCTGCGATTCTATAGGGACCTCCAAGGATGGAGCCTGGTTTCTGAACTGATCCAGAAGGAAAAGTATCATTACTCCTGCCACTTCCTGCAGCTCCTGGGTTCTCTTGGGGGTTTCTCATCCAAGTAGTGACCCGGCCAGGCCATGTTTAGCTCTGAGATCTAGCACCGTGCCTCAGGAGTGTGGCTTCAGGCTGTGGAGTCTCATTACGTTGAAGCCCGATGGTGTGAGCCATTGCTGGGGTAGTTTGACATTTCAGCCCAGGAGCTGCCTGTGTCCAGAGCGAGCTTTTATTTGCTGCAGTTGCCGCCTCCCAGAGCCTCAACCAACTAGCTGGAGGAATTAACTCAGTGGTGTTTTCAGTCCGGCAATGATAATAACAGCCGGGCAGGACAAACAGCCGACTGTCTGGGATGAAAGCTCTGAAGCTGCAAGGTGTGGATACTGGAAATGCAATAGAAGAAGGTGGATCACTCTGTGCTGGCACCAGAATTGAGCCACAGCTGGGAAGTGAGGTAAACCTGTACTTAAAACCTGCTTCTTGCAAGGAGCCTTCCCACAGAGATTTCCCCAGCAGCCTCCCACGCTGAGTTGCTCTGCCTCTCACTGAGTCTGACTGCAAGCGCTTTGAGGCAGGGATCTTGTCTTTCTAGGCTTCACGGGAAGAGCCGCATTCTGGTTCGGAGGTTAGAGAACTAATCCTGGACAGTGGGGAGGCTGGCACCCCACCCATACTCCAGTCTCTTTCCCATGGGTAGTGTTCTGCGAAGGGGTCTGGCAAGCTGGGAGCTTTTCACTTGTGAGTGAACAGTTCCACTCTGGGGCAGACTCCCCAGGCTGCGCCAGCCTGCCGCGAGAGCCTGCAGGAGCGGTCAGAATCACCATAGGAAGAGGGGAGGAGTTGGAATAATGTCCAGTTCCGACCAATTTCCCTGCATCCCTTGCTGCTCAGGGTTGGGGGGAATAAGAACGATTAGCAGCCAAGTTGCAGCTTTCACACTTCAGCCATTTCTGAGCCTGGTGTCCAGTCTCCTTGTGCATGCTGACCACTAGGCCCTCCTGCTGTGTCTCACCATTCTCTCACCCACCCTCCTATTGGCGGGAGGGATGTTTTCTCTACGTGTCTGACCCCCAAATGCTCTGGGTCAGAGTCTGGTTTGAGTCACACTTGTGTAAACCTGGAGTAACTCCATTTGCACCAGTGAATGTCCCGTAACGGAAGCCATGGTCTGACCCTCTAATGGGTACGGCTTGGAGATACCCCTTGGCCTGAAATCTCCCTCAAGGAAAAGGAGGCTCAGTTTGGGGAGGGGACATTTAATAGTTAATAGACTCACGAATAACGAGCCACCAGGTTCCCTGGTGGTGATTAGAGGTGGGGATGCTGCCACACTTGTTGCAGTTTGTCTCTAGCGTGTGGCAGTCCCATGGAGAGTCCAGCTCCATGGAACTCTCTCCCCCCAGCGGGAAGTGTCGCTGTCTGTGGGAGGGGTGGAGGAAGTCTGTCTGACGCCGCCTGGGCCTGGCCTTTTGTCTTCCAGAGTGCTCAACTGCCCGGTCGATCTCATCACCCAGGGGGACTATGCTGCTGGTTTCAGAGCAAGGAAGCAGCATGAGCCCTAATTCCACCTGCTGCTGGGGGAAACCGGTTCCTGTCCTTGCTACTGCCCTGGGGCTGTTGGCTCTCAACCTGGGGAAAGGGCTGCTCAGCCTTGCCTTCACTCCGGTGAGTCCTTGGAGCCTGGAGGGTTTTACAGCGCCAGCTGCCCTGGGCGTGAAGGTGGGAAGGAGAACTCTCACCTCATCCCTCTGCAAGGGATTCCCAGCCGAATGGGAATGAGTCTCCACTTAGCTTGGCTAGAGGAGGCCAGGGAGCAGCTTGGTGGTGGGATTTGAGAACATCATAAACATGCTGCACTTGGAATCAACTTGCAGATGGGATGCAGCTGCTCAGCCCCCTCGCCCGGGCTGCCCAGAGATGGTGCCTCCTGGAGGGGTTGGTAGAATGGCTGTCCTGTGGGGGTAGGTGTTTCTCCCCTGGGTGCTGCACTACAGCCGGGGGGCTCAGACGAGCAGCATGGAGAGGACAAGTAGGGAGGGCATTGGGGATTCACTGCTGCAGGATAACCTTTGTCCTCATTAATCCAGAAGCCAAAGCTCAGGGGTTGCAGCAGCAAAGTGAAGCAAAGTGTGTGTCAGCCTGGAATGCTGTGGGCGGGCTGAGGCGAGTCTCACATGGAGGGCCCTGGTTTCCAAAAGGGGCTTTCATCTTGTAAATGCCAAACTACGGTAAGAGCTGCTTGGACGTGGAACCACAACATAAATGCAAAGGCGACTTGCCTTTGCCAGTGGGCGAATTAGGCTTCAGCGTCCGGCTCTGCCTGTGCAAATACGCTCTTACCCAGAATCTGAGGGTGAGTGGAACCAGCTGAGCGTGTAGCCTTTAAGGCTGAGGCCGTAATCTCAGGAGTTACTGATCTCTCTGCTTTAATGATTCTCTTTAGGTGATTGTCGTCATGCTGAGAGGAAAGAGAGGGAACAAAGCGGGAGAGAGCCTCTAAGTGTGAAGATGATGGAAAGAGAGAGATTTGCTTCCACCGAGAATTTGCAGCTTGTGTGCAGGAACTAGGAGCAGCTGCATTTGTAGCTTGAGCCTTGAGCAGTGAAAGGAGGATCAGAGCTTGAATGATTCCAGTAGCTTGGAATGACGTCAGGTGCACTACATGGCCCGTAGCCACTCTCTGCAGCCACAGGCCCCCAGCACTGCTCCTTTTCTCTCTCCCTCCCCATGTCCTTTGCCTTGTTCGATACAGTGGGGTGTAGTTCCTGGGCTCCAGTTAGACTGTAAGATCAGGGCAGAGGCTGTCTTAGTCTGTGCTTGAAAAGAGCCCAGCACATGGGTGAAGTTTGGCCTGAAACACCAGCTCTTCAGACAACTACAAGCCTACTTTTAGTACATCCCTTTGGGAAACGCTGCCTCTGTCTTGAAGGACCCAACTTGAAGCTCAGGTCTTGGGTGATGTGCAGATCCTGTACAGCCAGACCAAGACTCTCAGCTGCCTTGGGGCGGGGTGAACATGACCTGCAGAGAAGTGGGCAAGATTGGAGAATGAGAGTGGAGCTATCTGCTCTGTGGGACGTGGCCTGCGGGGGCTTTTCTCAGTTCTGTGTATTGTTTTAAAATACAACTGCTTTCCTGAACATGTGAGAGCCGGCGTGTGCATGTCTGAGTACTGGTCACAGCGCTCTCCCAGGGCACCTGGGCAGCACCTCGGGGTGGGGGGGGCGCACTCTGCTTTGGGGGTAACGCTACACTGGCTTGCCTCCTTCAGAAGCCTCTCTGCACTTCCTTTGCACTGGTAGGTCACGTTTGTATCACCTCCCCCTCCGAATGGTCCCAGGGAGTGGGAGAGACACACTGGAGCTAGGGGGTCTGCCCAGAGCTGTCTGGGTACCCCATGGCGTGCCGGCCAGAGTCGCCAGGACAGCCCTGTCTGTCGAGGTTTGATGGCGCAACCATTGCTCTCCGCATGTCTTCGGGCCCCTCTGTCCGATGCATTCATTGGAGGAAACCTGCCCCTGGATGCCAGACCCAATGTGAGCAGAGCTCGCGTTGCCTCAAAGTTTAAATGAGGGAACGAATAAACCAGGAAACTACAAGTCAGTGAATCTAAATTCAGTTCTCAGTGAAACTCCGAGACATAAGAAGGGGGAGGGAAAAGGTTGAAGGGACAAAAATTATTAGCAAAAACTAATTTGGTACATGACAGAGTCAGGGCCATCCCTGCTGACACACAAAACTCGCAGCTGCAGGGGGCACCACAAAGACGAGGCACTAAATTGCCTCATGTCAGGGTGTCCCCATGCTCTGGCCAGCCCCTCTGCCCCGTGCTCTGCCAGCTCCATCCCTCAACTCCACCCCGCGGCCGGGCTCCCCCCGCAGGCTGCGCCCAGCCCCTGCTCCCCAGGTGGCAGTGAATGGCGCAAGCATGGGCCGGAGGTCTCAGGAGGAGCAGTGGGTGTCCACACAGTCAGTGGTGGGAAAGTCCCTTTCAGAGCACCACTTCTCTCCTGCCGGCTGCACAGCCTCTCTGCTCCAATGGCCTGTGCACGTGCTGTTTGCTGCCACCCACACTTCCTGCCTGCTTCCTGAGGAGGAGGTGAGCCTCCCCCCCTCCCTGTCTCTGCCTAGGGTAGCCAACCAGTCACATCCCTATTCCAAGCTAGACGGGCCAGATGCCATTTCTGGCAGTGGCGTCCGATCGGGGAGAGTCGGCAGCCCCCTGTCCCTCTCAGAGTGGCCGTCCCCCCTGTGACGGTGCGTTGGGGGTCCCCCGCCTCCTGCACCCCCGAAATGGCACGAACAGACTCCGCCAGCCAGTAGAATAGAGGTGGTTTATTGCTTCTCTGGGATACAGCACAGCACAGATGTCATCAGGTTACAGGGCAGGCCTAGGATGCCTCAGCTCCCCTTGATATGGGGGGGGGGTCTCGGCTTCTAAACCCCCCAGCCTGTTGCTGAGGCTGCTTCCTCCATGCTCCCAGACAGAAACGAAACTAACTAAACTCTCCTCCAGCCCTGCCCCCCAGCCAGGGCAGCATCCACCTTCCTTTGTTTCTCCCCATGGGGGGTAGCTGGTCAGACAGGTTTGGAGCCCCCTTTGCATAATGACCAGACAGCAGAGGTCGCCACAGCCCTAGCAAGGCCCCCCCACTACATCACCCCCCATGAGGAGTGGGGGGTGCTGGTGCTGGGCTGCCTAGGGCACCAGCGCCGATAGCATTGAACAGCCCTGCGGAGAGTGATGTAATCTCCTGTTGAACAGGCCCAAGAGGCTACTATTGAGGGGAATGTGGATAATGCTGGTTATTGAATGTTGTCTTGGGTTTTCTTTGTCTGTTGACTTCACTGGGGCACTGCTCCAGGGCTGCGAGGTCCGGCCCCTAGATGCAGGCGTTAGTCAACGTGCCTCACAGCCTGCACGCGTCAGTCTGGGAGCAGAAGTCAGGCATGTAAACGGGATTGCGGAAGCACCGTTGGATGGATGACAGTGGCAGGAGAAGGCCCTGTGAATAGCACCAGCTCTTACAGCAGAACGGCCACAGCCACTGTCCAGAAGATTTCAACCCGTTACAGGGAGAGTCTAGGCAAGAGCTGCTGGGCATAACAGGCAGAAACAGGCAGTCGTCCATGTGGACGAAGGATAACCTTGAAAGGGACTTCGGGGATTATGTTCGCGTAGCCGGCTGCTGCTCGCTCAGCTGCAGCCCGAAACACCGAGGACTGTATTCTGCATCAGAAGGAGCATTGCAAAGCAGGCAAGACATGGTATAAAGTCCTGGCTGACAGGCCCCTCCTGGATTCCTGCATCCAGTTCAGGGCACATCATCACCCCAGGGAATCCCACGTTCAGGAGAAGAGCTGCTGAACTGATCAATCTATGCAGAGTTAGTTCTGAGCACAGGCTGGCGATAAGAAGGCAGTGGTGGGCAACCTATAGCCTGTTGGGTTCTGCGGGAGAACCGACATCTTGTGTACCGTTGCCCATGCAGGGTTGCCATATTTTGCTGGTTTCCATCCACATGGGATTTTTTCCCTACTGCTATTACAAAAGTGGCATGCGTGTAGATCAAGGGCACATGGAGTGAGGTACGTCCGATTGCTCACATCAATCCAGTCCCAGCACTGCTGCGGTTCTCTTGGCACCCTGTGCGTTCTAGGTGGGCAAGCAGGAGACCGACTTGGTTACGACAGTCCTGCAGCCCCCTCCCGCGGCCACTGTCTAGCCTTGGTTGCCCATGGCTGTGCCAGGGTGTGGGAAGGAGAAGATGTGATAGTGTTTCAGCACCTTCCAAGTACTCGGATGAGGACGGGGGGCTCCTGGAGATGCCTGCCATTAGGAATGCCAAAGAAATGATACGTGCAGTAAACATGCACCGAGAGCTTTTGCTCTTTCCAAGGCTCAGCCCGGGGCAGCACTAACAGAATCCATCCGACTGGGCCTCAAGGGAAGCGGACAATGGTACGAGTGCTTCTCAGTCCTCAGATGGGATCAGTATCCTAATCTGTGCATGACCCAGTGCAAGCCAGTATGGTTCTTGCTGCTTCAGAAGAAGTTCCCTGCAGGAGCATTGGAGGTCTGGAGCCAGGCCTGTCTGTTGGACTCAGGTGGGTCTAGTCTATACGACCCGTTCTCTGCCCTCACCAATGGCCTTAGGTATTGATGGGTCTCAGTCCCTCTACTTTCCTCCTGAGGGCTCTTTGCTTTGCCTTCCAGGGCAATTTCTAAACATGACCAAGTGCTGATCATACCCTTCTGTGTGGGCAGGGACAGATACCTGGAGCTGACTCCTTAGAACATTGAATTAGACTTAAACATGGGTGGTGCTTCTAGATCACCGTGCGCTGCTTCCTCCCACGCTTGAACCAGCTCCACCTGGGTGTGACTTTAAATTGCAGACTGGCTCCACTCTGGGCACTCAGACCCAGCTCTGGCAGCACCATGAAGTCAGGGGGCCTCTTTCTCCTCCTGGGGCTCGTCACCCTCTGGACAGCACTACAGGGGGCACCTACAGAAAGTGAGTACAGGGAGCGCAGGGCCTGGAGGGGAGCCCTAGGGGAGGGGGCATGGGCAGTGGGAGTGGGGGCTTGGAAATACCAGACACGTTAGGGAGTGGGTTGGTTTGTCTCCTCAGTGACCCGATTCAGGGGCCAGTAGAAACACATCTCCACTGTGGGTGGCACAGGGACAGAGCTGCCATTCCCTCGGAGCAGCAGACGGAATTACAGACCATCTGGACCGGCCAGACTCTGCAATTCATGTGTTGCTGAGGGGCAGGCATTGGAGGGGCAGGCTGGCAGCTCTGGACTGCTTTAGCTGGAGACTTATCGTCTAAATATTAGGTGCCCAACCTCTGCACGACAGCATCCCAATGACACCTTGATTTCCTTGTGGGGGATGATGGTGTAGAAACTCTTAATATCCATGGTAAAAAGAAGACAATCATTGAATTTGTTAAATTCTTTGAAATCTTAAAGAATTTGTAGAAAAGGTCCTTCACTTACGTAGATAAAGATTCAACAAGAGGTTGAAATGTATTCGAAATTTGGAAATTATTTCTGTTGGGTACGAACAAGCAGACACTATAGGTTCTAGGTAAGCTGTAAACTGCATAATCCTCTTGAAGCACTTAGATGTAACTTGCATGATGGTAAGTTTGCAGTGATTGTATGTATGTGTGTGTGTGTGTGTGTGTGTGTGTGTGTATAAATATATATATGTACACAGATCTTTTCAGTGTGTAATTTACAATACCTTGGAAAGGTAAACCACAATGTTATTTCTTACCTTGCATGTTACAGTTTTTGACTCAGTGGGACTTTTGGCAATCCTTGTTTTCAACGATCCTCTTAAAATCTGGCTTGTGTTCGGTTGAGGCCATCGAAGTAATTCCCTCACGTGTGTGTTAGAACAGATCGATGCTTCGATTTCACAAGTTTCAATGTAGAAAAAACTGACTCACAAAGGTATGTTGATCCAAACATTGACAGTAGTCTGAGCGCAGCCTGTTTAATATTGTGGTTTTTTCCCATCGGTTCAGTTTTCCAGAATTCAAGTGTTCTTTCCTTTAGAAAAGACTTCAATCTATTGTCTTCTGACAGTTCAGTCAGCTCAATCTGAGAAGTTGCTTCATCTGTGACCAACAGGGCTTTCAAACAGTCAGACTCCGCAGTGAAATGGTCGACCAGGAATGAAATCTGTGGCCTTTTCAATTGTAGATCATAGAATCTTTCTACACAACTATCCTGAAGTTTTTCAACAATGTTGCATACTGTGCTGTGCTTTTTTTCCAGGCCTCAGCTGCTTGTTGACCGCATTTAACAACGAGGGAAAATGTGTCAGTTCCTGCCTTTGAAGTTGTGCCTTGAATAGCTTGAGTTTATTGGCAAACACAAATACACTTTGCACCAGGTCAGGCAGCATCTTTAATTTCCTTTGTAGTAGGTCAGGTTAAGTCTGTCCAGATGACCCAGTGTGTCCACCAGAAACGCCAAATCTAAAACCCAATGCGGGTCTGAGAGTTTGCGATATTCCTTATGCTTCTCTACCATGAACAGTTTCACGGCATCCAAAAGTTTAAAAAAACCGAAACAGCACTTTGCCTTTCGAAAGCCATCTTACAGTACAGTGCAGTGGCAA